TGAGTATGCCAAGTCTTGTTCTTTCGATGGCCTCATTTCCTTCTCCATGGCAGTCCGCCATTCTTGAATCTGTTGCGCCTCAATGTAGTTTGCAGGTTCTTCTGTGATCAGGAACAACTCCTCTGCAGGAGATCAATCACCTCCGGTCTCTGCATAGATGTCCGCAAGGGATCGATAGCGTACAGGAGTCATAACTGCAGCTTCAGGGGGTCGAACGCGTCCAAAACAGTGGGGTTCGCTGCCGCTGCCAGCAGTTTCTGCGACCAGCGAGCAAACTACCCCTGGTTCGGCCTGCAACAGTGCCAACATTTGCGGGTGTTTGGCCTGCAGCAGTGCTCACAGCAGCAGCTCCTGCAGGAGCTGTTCGGTGTGCCGGCTGTCCAGGCGTCGTCTTCCGGTCAGTGCCGCTGCGATACGAGTTCCTGCAGGGGCTGTTCGGCCAGCAGGTTGTCCAGGAAAAACTGCAGCAGATCGGTCTGCTTGCTGTCCATTTTGGACTGCAGAGAATGCGCCGGTTGTTGTGTCGACAGCTGCAGTTTCGCCTTCCACTGTTATGTCCATCCAGCTGGGTGATCTTTCGACTCCATCGGCGCTCCATTCCCACTCTTTTCCTTCCTCAAACGCGACATCCCTGCTGACACGTATCTTGTTATGTTGAGGGTCGTATAGGCGATGCGCTTTGCTTCCTTCTTCTACCCCAATATACACCATTGGCATGCTCCGATCGTCGAGTTTCTTGTGAGAAGGGCCTGCAATCTTCACATGCGCCATACATCCAAAAACTCTCAAGTGTTCTAGGTGGGGTTTCTTACCAAACCAAGCTTCGTAGGGTGTGTGGTCGTGCAACGCCTTGGTTGGTAGTCGGTTGAGGATGTACACCGCGTGCCTAACCGCTTCGCCCCACATGGTTCCAGGCATATGCATGCTCTTAAGTAGGCTCCTCGCCATGTCCATCACCGTGCGATTACGCCTCTCCACTACACCGTTTTGCTGCGGGGTGTACGGTGCAGTGAGATGACGCTTGATGCCGTAGTCTTCACAAAACTTGGTGAACTCCTTTGACAAGAACTCGCCACCACGATCTGTCCTCAATGTCTTCACCTTGTGGTCACATGCATTCTCAACCTCTGTTTTGAACTTCTTGAAGGTTTCACAAGCTTGACTTTTGGCCTTCAACATGTATACCCACATCCATCGGCTGAAATCATCAACAATAAGAAGGAAGTATCTGTTACCCGCAAGTGTGGATGGGGTGATAGGACCACATAGGTCAGCATGTAGTAACTCCAGCGGCCTCTGAGCTCTGAAATTTGCTTGCGAAGGGAACGGCAGTCTTGCTTGCTTAGCGACGAGGCATCCTTCGCATAGTTGGTTCGGGTGCAAGATCTTCGGCAACCCGGAAGCCATCCTCTTTTCAGTCATCATCTTGAGGGTAATGTTCGCCATCAAGCACGCCGGCTTACAAGTCTTTAACTATATCCTGTACAATCGGTTAGTAGAACGTTTCACCCTCATCAAGAGAGCACCGTTCCTATCAAACACCCTCAGGAACTCGTCAGCAATAACAACCTTACTCCCATCTTCAGTCATTTGACCAAGGCTAATAATGTTAGATTTCAAACTTGGAATATAATATACCTCAGGTAGTAGCCTTTGATCGCCGTTGTTGCACTGAAAGAGGATAGAGCCTTTCCCCTTGATCTCTACCGCGGATCCATCACCAAACTTGACGGTTCCCTTGATGTTCTCGTCGAGCTCCTTAAACTTGTCTCGGTGGCCGGTCATGTGATTGCTAGCTCCGTTGTCAAGATACCAAGTGTTGTTGTCAACATGTGTCTCCCCTGCTGTAAGTAAATCCGACATCACCTTCTCCTCATTTAGCAAAATAACACTTGACGATTCCTCTAACATTGCCATCATCAAGGTTGGCTCCTCGTCATATGCACGGGTGAGATGAGCCTCCTGTTCATGGTTGCGGCGTTGCTTGTGACACTCCGACTGAAAGTGCCTGTATACTCCGCAATTGAAGCATTTAATGTTGGACTTGTCTCGACCACCACTTGTGCTATTCTCCCCCTCCTGGCGAGCTGCACCTCCATGGCCGAAACCACCTCCTGGACGTCCTCCTCTGCCGCCGAAGCCGCCTCGGCCTGCCTGGCCGCCGTGCTCCCCTCCGCGGCCTCCGTGGTACTGCTGTCCGCTGCCGTGGTACTGCTGTCCGCTGCCGTGGTACTGCTGTCCGCTGCCGTGGTACTGCTGTCCGCCTCGGCCTCTTTGGCCACGGCCACGCCCACGACCGGCCCCGCGACCTCGTCCTCGACCGCTGCCATCATTGGTTGTAGGTGTTGAGAGGAAGCCTCCGCCGTTCTTCTTGCTCCTTGCTTGCCACTCCGCATGCGTCAACAATAGGTGATCGTCGACGTTGTTTCGAAAAACACGTGCCCTCTCCTCGTGGGCTTTGAGACGCCCGATCGCCTCCTCGAGTGTCATGTCGTCGATGTCCCCGAACTGTTCAATCGTGGAGACGATAGTAAGGAATCTCTCCGGTACCGCCCGAAGTAGCTTTCTGACGACGTAGTTCTCCTCCATCTCGCCGCCTAAAGCCCGGATCTTGTTGACGACTCCTGTCAACTTCGTCGAAAAATCGTCGACGTTGTCATTCTCCTTCATCCGGAGAAGTTCGAACTCGGACTTCAAGGTCTGCACCTTCGCGTTCCTCACACGATCCGCTCCTAGATGCATTGTTTTCAACGTCTCCCATGCCTCTTTTGCCGTTTGCTTTTCTGCAATCACCATCAAAGTCTCTTCAGGAATCCCCTGGTAGATGGCCGCCAACGCCATCTGATCCTTCCTGTGTTCCACGGACGCGCCTGCCGCGGGCTCAATGGCATCCCACACGTCTTGAGCCTTCATGTAGACTTTCATCTTGATTGCCCACGAAGCATAGTTATCCCTCGATAGCGTCGGGTATTGGAGAGTGAGAGAACCCACCTTGGTCGTCATCTTCTCCGAACTCGTCATCTCTTCAGATCTTGGTTGGTACTTAGGCATACACCGCTCTGATACCACTTGTTGGCTTTGAAATAGGATCGGCCTGAATCAGATCTGAAACTGATTTGAGAAAATCTGGAAACACTGTAGCAACCGAACCTGGCAGTTTTCTTGAGACTGGACTGCAGCAAAGACAGAGAGCTAGTGCTCTGTTTTGGATGATGAACAGAGGCCGGAAATTGAAGCAGGAACTTTTTCTTTTGAAGTTTTATTCACATTGTCAAAACCATATAGGTTGTTTACATATATATAAGGACTAAGATTACAACTCTAATCTTATCCAATAACTAGAGAATTAACTACTAACTAGTATTCTATTCTAACTAGAATTCTATCTACTAATTTGAACTCAACTAACAATCCGGACTGATTAACAACTCACATGCATGAAATGAAAGCAGAGTGTTACCAGTCTTATTTGTACGGGAATTTGTAAAATTATTTTATTTTAGGGGATGTGCTCTTTCAAATAAAAAGGTTTAGGATTAAGTTACGAGTCCACGCATTTTTAATGTGAGCAAGTAAAGGGGAAGCATTGAAGCGATATTTTGAGCATAAACTTTAGGTGATTGTACGACGTGAAGGGAATCAAAAGTGTGAATAATGGCATTAGCTATATTATGGTGTGCCAAGCAATTTTGTTTCCCACTTGTGTGTCAAGCTCCTTTTAGTCAATATTTTTGCTTAAGCTCAACAACGGATTGATATCAGATGTGCACATATACCAGATATGAGTTATTTATTTATTTGTTTACAAATTAATCATAAATACAAATATGAATACAGACATAATTCGCAATCCATAGTTCAATCTTGTAAGATTTGTCAGTAGGATGGGAAAAGTGCTTTTCATTGGCTACCTTTGTTGTCAATTAAATATCAATCTTGTATTTTGAGCAATATATAAGTACCCAATCAATCTCTAGTTGAGCTGAGCCTGAGTCTAATATTTGATCCCAGTTTTGAATTGTCATGAGATGTCTCTGAAGAAAGTCCGATAATCTTGATTAATATTTTGATGAAATTAAAATACTGCAGCAGATTTTTCACATTGATTTTAATCAACTTCCATTAAATGCCTACTGTTTTTGAACTCATTTGGCAATAAAACTTCAAACTAAGTTTAAACACATTTGAGATTTGCTCTTCGTTTAAGTTCTGTGTTTCAAATTATAAATTGATTGCCAAAAGTTTGGAAATTTCGTGTCCAAATAAGTTTGGTAGTATATTTTATTATGTGTATATCTTGAATTCAAATTCTTCTCACAGTTGATCATTTGAATTCAATTTTATTTAATAATATTTGGTCTTCCGTGTTGAAGTGTACAAGTCTACTTGTTTATTTTACTTTAGTATTTGGGATGCTAAAAATAGTTAGCCTTTGAACACGTCTTCAAATTAACATATTTGAAAAGCTCAGTGGGCCGGGATAGTAAGTATATAGATGCAAATTAATCAATGAATTTTAACAAAATTTCTCTTAATCTTCCTTACAAAGGAAAAATCACAAGGACACAATTGTGCTGGCTAATTACTACTTTTTTTTTTCGTCCGAAGCATTAAGGTGGAGACAATTAGCTTGTGTATGATCTCAGCAAGAAGATGCAATGGGTTACAATATCTATGAAGTTTAATAAAGCTACCCACCAGCAACACTTTGATTTTAAAAACTTCAGTGAGATATTACATGATTTTTCTGCTTTGTGCATTATCATCATAAACAATCTAAAACTTAGTAGGAAACTGAACAAACCCCTCAAACATGTTCAGCAGCTCCTACGTATTTACCAATTAGTTTGATTTGCTAAGAACAAGCATCTCCCTCTGAAAAGCTCTGCTTTTAGATACTCTGCTTTTAGATGTGTCTACATTAAACTAAAACTATATAATGCCAAATTAACCAACTGGGCGAACTTTCTACTTTTCATTCAAAGAGGATCCATATATATATCTATTGACGTTTTCTGTCCAAAACAAATCACAGTCGTTGATTAAATGATGATAGATGCATTCTGACAGCAGAGAGAATCTAAGCTCTTAAAAAGAACAAGAAGCTGACTAAAAATAAAACAAGATTAAGCAAAAATTTGTTACAATTTACCAAGGACCAACAATCTCTGTTGAAGTCCTCAACAACTCCTCCAAATACTCAGCCCCCAAATCCTCCAACTCCACCACACTCTCGACTTTCTTCTTCGTTTCCTTGCCTTTTCTGACCCCCATCGCCTTCATCCTAATCGAATGCCGCCTCTTCAACGCCACCACCGGCGACCCTCCCTCCTCCACGCTCTCCACTCTCACTCCTCTCATCGACTCCCTCACCGTCTCCACCGGGAAATTAAGCACCGCATTCTCTCCCCTCATTGCGTACGCCGCCTGGTCATACGCCAGGGCGGCCGCCTCAGCGCTCTCGAACGTCCCCAGCCAAACTCTAACCCCGTGCCTCGTTGAGTCCCTGATCTCTGCCGCGTATTTCCCCCAAGGACGCCTTCGAACACCTCGGTAGCACTTTCCTTTGGGTTGGTTTTTCGATTGGACCTCTTCCTCGTTTGGTGCTGCGGAGTTGCATGTGTTTGTTTCGTTGCTGCTGGTCTCAGCATTTGAGACTTGGGCGAGGATGTCAAACAAGAGCATGTCCTCAGAGTCATTCATGTTGAAGGGGAGGGACTCCCATGAGCCTAAAGAGGATTCCGAGGAGAGATCGTGGATTTGAGAGAGGAATTGAGGGGAGGAGTCCATGTTAAAGGGAGAGGTGTTTTGGTTTGAGTTTGAGCCAGCTGGGGCTGGTTTTATACTGGATTAAAATTTTGAAAGGGAGAGGAGCCTAGTAAAGCCTGGGGAAGAAGGCGATGTTGAAAATAAGCACGTGGGCATTGCATGGCGGCTGGGTCAAGACCAGGACCTCTGGAAGCATAAGCATGACTGAGATGGAAGTGGGGCCCAGTATATTTTGCACGTCGGGTGGGACCTATGAGTTGGAAGGGAGCCGAACTTTTTGCAGAAGGGGAGATGAATTTGGGAAAACTAAATCGCAAGAGCTTCCGATATTAAGGGCATATCACTCCTTTTTTTCCCCCCATGATGGTAGCATTACATTATTTATTTGGGTAGTGGATCCTTTTTGAGCGAAACATAGGCCTTAGCATAGGTAAGAGGTCATACAACGCATGTATGTGTTGTAAAAATGATGAAAATATTGGTAAAGTTCAGAAAATTTGAAGCAGAAAGGCATTTGGGTGGTTGTCGGTCGACCGCGAGCTTTAGCGCGGTCGACCGAAAACGTGTACGAATACATGGTAGTTTCTGGAGTTCTGGTTGGTCAACCACGAGGTTAGGTCCAGTCGACCGCCAAACCCTGTAATGGTTTTTTGGATTCTGTCGTTCTGTCCGGTTGACCGCGAGCTTTGGCGCGGTCGACCGCCAGTCGGCTTTGGGTCTGGGCTTTATTTCCTGTTCTGATTTGGTTTGTGTTTTGATATATATATTAAAACACGATTTTAGGGTTTAGTTAATCAGAGATTTGAGATTGTACTGAGCATATTAAGAGAGGGAACTTGTAAGCAAGTTGAGAGATTTGGTTTAGGATTTATTTGAGTGATTTTGTGAGATTATAACCCTTTGTACTCTCCTTGATTTAGTGGAATCTCCTCATCCTCTCCCCGTGGACGTAGGCAAATTGCCAAACCACTTATATCTCTATGCTTTGTTTGATTTGTCATATTTTGGATTGGATTGTGCTCGTGTTTGGTTTGGTTAATCTTCTCCCGTGACTCGCGGACTCGTTTGGTTGTCAAGCACGCTTCCGCAAAGGCGCGCAACAATTGGTATCAGTGATCAGATTTCAGATCTAGGATTTTGGTATTAGGTGGAGGAAGATTCATCGTGGAAGCTTGGTTCTTGGGGGTTCTAGACTTCGGTGGAGATAGCGTTTGGGGTTGCCGTTAAAGATTTTGCTTTCCTCGTGTGGTTAGGAGATCTATTTTGGAATCCGTTCTAGGGTTCAGTTGGGTAAATTCTAAATTCTATCAAGTTTAAATTTTCCTTTACAATTTGGAGTTTGTGAGTATGGGTGAAGAAGTTGGTGAAAGCAACAAGATGGCGGGTACAGTTCAAGTTGGTTTTCAGAATACTAAAATTAGTGTGGTTAAATATGACGACAAGATTAATTTTGGTTTATGCATGAGCGACGTACAGGATGCGCTAAATGCTTAGAATTTGGAGGAGACCATCATGGACCATGAGAGGCCACCAAAATATGAAGAGGCGGTATGAGAAAAGATGAATATGAACGTTTGTGGGGTGATCAGGTCCTGTTTGGAACAAAAGCTAAAATATGATGTGATTGGGGTGACGTCTGTAATAAAGATGTGGGGAATTCTCAATAACAAGTTCCTTACGAAGAGTGTTGAGAAAAGATTGCACTTGTTGCGTAGGTTATTCTGATTTCAGATGTCCACGAGCACCTCACTAGTAGTTTATGTGAACAACTACACTAAGTTATTGTTCGGACTTGGTGAATGTTGATGAGAAGATATCGAATGAGTACAAGGAGATTATTTTGTTGGTCTCCTTACCGGATGAGGAGTATGATACATTGTGCCTACTTTGTTGAATGGAAGATCTTCTATCAGCTATAGTGAAGTAACTAACGCTTTGACGAACTATGATTTGAGGAGGAAGGATAATGAGACTTCCCGCGCTAGTACTTCAGGAGAGGCCTTATCGACGAGAGGTAGAAACCCATATCCGAGAGGTGGCAATAGAGGCAGGTCAAAGTCGAGAGGCCATCATCAGTTAGTAAAGAACCAATGTGCATTCTGTAAGGAGCAGGGACATTGAAAGAGAGACTGTCCAAAGCTTAAGGAGAAGGAGAATGGTAAGAAAAAGGGCCAGAAGGCCAATGAGGTTAATGTTGCGAGAGGCGATGATTCAGATGATTCGAGCTTTTCTCTACTGATTACTCCGGAGGTAAACCACTTGGATGTATCAGATTGGATGATTGATTCTGGTGCTACTTATCATGTTACTCCTAGGCGAGATTGGTTTGCATCATTTGAGAGACTCGATGAGGGTGTTGTTGTTATAAAAATTAAAAATGATCAATCCTATGGCATTTGTGGGATAGGTACCGTGAGGATTTAGATGCATGATGGAGTAGTCCATAAATTGAAGGAGGTGAGATTTGTTTCTCAGCTAAAGAAGAATCTTATCTCAGTTGGAGCTTTGGAGGTGAAGGGATTTAAGGTGAGCTTTGAGGATGCTATAGCAAAGGTTACTAAGGGATCTATGGTGGTGATGAAGGGAGTCCGCAATCAGAACTTATATTATCTAAAGGGGAGCACCGAGATTGGCCAGGTAGCTTCAGCTATTTCAGAGTCAGACATGAGCAGACTTTGGCACTACAGGTTGGGGCATATATAAGAGAAGTCATTACAGACGCTGTGCAAGCATGGACTATTGAAGGGAGCTAAGAGTGGAAAGGTTGAGTTCTGTGAGTACTGTGTACTTGGAAAGAAGATGAAGGTGAAGTTCAGGTCTGTCATTCATAGGACGAGAGGCATCCTGAATTACGTGCACACAGATGTTTGGGGTCCCACCAAGACTACATCTTGGTGATCGACATTGGTTCGTCACATTCATTGATGACTATTCTAGGCGTTGTTAGGTGTACACCATAGCAAAGAAGAGTAAAGTCTTAGATAATAAATTATGTACCAAAATTGATGCGGCATAATTATGTACCAAAATTGCAAGTGCATAATTTATCAAGTTATAGTATAAAAAGATATCGATCCCACGAGGAAGGTGATTTTAAGAGATTATTAAACTTGGTTCTTATATTTTGTGCATGACAATTAGGAATAAAGAATAAGTATGAATGTGATGAGTGATTTGTTGTGAATCTTTGCAAAAGATAATAAATTGAATTTTAGAGGAGAGAAGGAAGAATTAAAGAATAAATGAAATCATAAGGCAAGAAATATGAATTAATAAAATCAAGAAATAAAACCAAAAATAAAAAGAAAATTTAAGAAAGTTAAGATGAAGGATTCAAAAGAGGTAAGAAATCTAGAATATAATCCACTAACCAATTTCAATTACAAAATATAAACTATTCTCTTTTTATCATATTTCAACTTAGATTTATTAAGCATAGATTATCAAACCATTTAAGGAAAGTGTAACCTATCAAATTATCATCTAAGCTAAAATTACTATTCTTGATAAGAATAACAACATGATAATAATCCTAGAATTCATAAGCATAACCTATCAAACCATTTAAGATAAGCATAGATTATCAAATTCTTCTTCTACCGATTAGTTCTCTAGTTGATTATCCTAAACATGAACATTTTAAGTGCAAGAGAATAATTCATACAATATAAAGGAAATTAGACTAGTTTCATATAATTCTAAACTTCCTACAAGAATTAAATTCACATCTTTAAGAAATAAAAACAAGAAAAAGAACTAATTACAAAAATAAAAAGAAAAGAAAAATCTAAACTATGAACAAGAAATAAATCTAACTACAAAGAAAATAAAAATCTAAACTACAAAATAAATTGCAGAAATTAAATGCAAGAAAAATAAATCTACTCTACAAATTAAAGTGCAAAAAGAAATAAAAAAGACAAGAAAATAAATCTACACTACAAGCATGAATTTAAATCTAACTAATAAGCAATAATAAAGAAATTACTAAAAAGAAATAAAAGAGAAAAGAAATGCAAACCTTCAAATTGCTCTTCATCTCCATCCTCATCATTCAACAAGAGGAGAAAGAACAAATTTAAAGAGGAAAAAATTATTTTTATTAATTGCAACTAAAGTTACAATTTTTGGAAGGCCTTCTCAATTAAGAGTAGCCCTCCTCTCCAAAAGGAGTTTACAAAATTTTCACACCTCTAACCCCTCACTCTCTACCCCTATTTATAGTAATCTTCAATGAATATGAGCCATTGGATTTGTCTTGAGCCCCAAGCAACAATCTCCACCTTTGATTTATTTGATTTTCAAAAGAAAATCAAAATCCAATTTTGCAACAATCAATTTTCGGCCCAATGAGCTCCATATGATTTTCACAAAATGAAAACTAAGCAAGTCCGGTGCATTCTAAGTCTTTGGCCCATTTTATTTGTTGATTTTCCAAAATTATAACCACAAGTCCGGTCTACAAGTTCCGGCCTCCAACATGATTTTTTTTTCGGCCCACATTTGCTTTTTGCTATAGTGACCGGCCCAATTGGAATTTCTCCTTTGTGAACAAAAATCAACACTGTAGCATGTCCGGTTTGATGAGACTTAAGTCCAGCAGCAACAAAAATCTTCTTAAGTCCGGCCCATATGTGTTTAAAAGCCAACTCCGGTCCATGTCTTGAAATCCAAATTTTTGCATTTAAGTCCCTTTCATTCCAACTTTGCATAAAAATCCAATCTTGTTTGCATCCGGTCTTGTTTCCCTTGTGTAATCTTTTTGCTTTGGGCCTTCACAAATTCGAAAATTTCACTTTGGCTTCTTGAATCATTTCTTCATTTAATCAATGAGTTATTGTTGAGAGATGGGAAGTTGAGATTTAATCTTTATTAACCTGTAATTAAAGATAAAAACAGTTATTAGTGGTATATTTATTCATATAAAATAGATAATGAGGATATAAAATTGTAATAAAAATGTGATTATCA